CAGAACCTGCCTAATAAGGGAGTTAGAGAGAATCAATGGAAGGTAAGCACTGCTCTGAGGCCAAATGTTGAATTTTGCTTTGAGATAGAAACCAATGGTAGCTCCCATCAGCAAAATATCTCCATGTCTGGAAATTAGACCTCAGTGTTAACATGGAGTGACACCATTATTTCTCCTCAGGGCCCGCCCCTCTTTAGTGTATAAAGATTTCCCCGTTTACTCCCATATCCTATTTTTGGCTTTGTGCAGTAGAACTGTTAACTGTGAAGGAATCCACTCCCTACTGTGCTTAGCTAAACTTCAAGCTCAACAGTGGTGTAGTGTAGTCAGGGCTGATGGAATTTACAGTATGTAGCCTGAGAGTGTTGGCTATGGTCAGACAACTTCCAGGGCCCACTAGGAAATCTGACAGAGAATTCTGCTGGGTGTCCAGATAATTTCAACCAGCCATCTAGTCCCGTTTGACTTATTAGGACTGCCAGGCTCTCTCTTTAGGTGGTATACAGTATGCCTTCCAGACCAGCCTCAGATCTGGAGTTATCACATGCAAGGGACTGAAAGCATCTTCTTCAGCTCAATTGGCCACTGCCTAAGTTTTTCTGGTCATCAACGTGTCCATGAGCCCAAAACCGCTTGGGTCTTACTAAAATGTTGCAGACATTAGACTAGAATTTGTCTTTATACTAACCTTTTTGTAACAAATCCTACTCTCATCACTCCTAGGTAGTTTAGGGACCCTTATTATTTATGAGATTTTTAAAACCCATTATTAGACATTTAAATACATGCTAGAAATTATTCTGTAATTCTTCCCTATGTGTATGTTATGACTCAAAGTAAGTTACAGTAAGTCTGGACAAGTGGGGGAAATATGGCCTTTGGAATTTGTGCCTTAGCTTCTTTACTTGCAAAACGGAAAACCCTTACTTTCAAAGGATTGTTTTAAGAGATTAATTGAGATTATATGTGTATAATACTTGTAAAACAGTTTAAATTTTTCCCCTTGTATCCTCAAGATTATTGCTAACAGTTGCTACATATAAATGAATGAAGATGAACTCTATTTTCTTAATCCTCAGGTTAGTAAAAATACAAGAGATAGGAAAGAATAAATATTATATACAACTGACTATATGCTGCATAATGACATTTTGGGCAAACAGATCATATATGTCCTCATTCTATTACCCAGTGATGTAGCCTTTGCAGTTTGTAAGTACACCCTGTAATGTTTCCACAATGATGACATCGCCTAATGATCCATTTTTTAGAACATATCTCTATTGTTATGTGATGCATGATTATCTATCTATAGAAGCAAAGAAAGATGGATGAGGAGGAAATGAGTAGCAAGAATAAGCAAAAAGGAGTTTGTTTGAAGAAGATGAAGAACCTAGGTGTGTGGGGGGGAACCGAGCAACTAAAGCAAGTAAAGCCACTTATCAGAAATAGTTATGAGCATAATGTGTACACATTTTAAGATTAGGATATTTGAGAAAGAGGATCATTTATCTAGAATTTCTGTTATCATGAAATAGTAGGGTTAACCAGGCTACTCTAAACAAATATGATATTTCATTTTAACCCTAGTTCTTAAAAAATTTGTTCTGTATTAAAATGTACCTTCCTGACTGAGATTTCATTACAGAAAACATAATAGGATGAGTATTAAGGGTAAATGTTTAACTTTTTAAATATACTATTCAAACCATACTATAAAATGGACTACATTTGTGCCTACTGTGTAAATCCTAACCCAGTAACTGTTATCTGGATTGAAGTTGTCTGAATAGCAGGGGAAGGACTGAGCTGGAATTAGATGGCATCAGTGCTACTGGGGGCTGGACAATCTGAAACCTAGGTAATATACAGTACTTCTAAAACATGCTAATGACACAGATATCAAGTAAAAATCAGAGGCACAAATCAGAAGCAGCATATTATAGATGTGCATGCAGAGATTGCTGGAAAAGCTGCAGTTCCTTGTGATTTCAAATTGCACTTTTAGGGATGGGGATTTAGCTCAGCGGTTTGGTGTCCTGCCTTGCAAGTGTAAAGACCCGAGTTCAATCCCTGGTCAAAAAAAAAA